TAATATTTGAATGGCCACGATATGGTTATATATAAATTTAAATTAATTCACAAATAAATATTTATTGTGTATTTATAAGGTTCATTATTGATTGCACAAAATCGCGCGACGAATAGTTCATGAATCTTTGTGATATACAAGTGTATCTAGGTGTGAGTTATGTCAACCTACTTCTTGAATGCCGCTATGTTACATACAAGATGCGACCTTATCGCAATAGTATATAGAGATAAAATTGATTAAACCAATCACAGGCGTTCTCAATCCGACAATTAGGAACTGCTTTGAACACGTTATTGAATAATAAACCTTATAGTTGTGTTAGAAGACATGTTTTAAGACGTGAAATGCCGCTTGAACACTGTACATGTTCCATTCAACCATGAACTCCTTTGAGGAGCGTCCCGCATAGTGGAGACCTCAATTTTTTTAACTCTTACTTATTGGTCAATCCGCGTGACTTTTGGACAGTAATACCATTGTTATAAAGCGGTCATTGTAATAACTCCTGTGGTAAATGCATAAACTATGAATCTTAGGGTCTTTCACGTACATACATATATTAATGCCGTACTTGAACAATGTCTATATTTTTATCGTACCAATAAATTACTGCTTTTATTGTTATTACATTAATATGACCCAAAGAGTGTCAAGGTGTGTAACATCAATTTCAAGCTTGTAATGAGAATCAGCTCAATATACAATTGATTTGAACACATTCGTTTGACCTAGGAACTAAATCCGATAAAATAATGCGTTAGCAATTTAGACTCATGATATTTTTTTAAATAAATCTACGTATTTAACTTTATATAAAAACTTGGTGTGATAAGATTTTGTGGCAGATGTAATTACATAATACATACATACACACTATAATATACAAAATCTATACATATAGTGTATGTTAATATATAAAAAAACATGCTTAATATTATATTTGCAGAAGAGAGCCACAATAGCAATTCTAGGTGCGAAGGAATCCCTTACAGAAAAAATTAAAAAAAATAAATTTATATTAACTTTGGCCTTTCAGCATGTTTATGAAAATTTAATGTCCACAAGAACAGAAATAATTTTATTAAATGTAATAATGTACATTCTGGAAATACTAGGAACTAGCACAAGCTAGTTATACCAGTTACCCGACTTCAAAGAGTCAGTAATTCCTTCATGGGGCATTGTAATACACTTTTACAACAAAGTCCCAGAAAAGATATATAGTAAAAATTGTTTAATACGGGTTATTACTAAAGAGTACATGATTGATAATAAAACCCCTTGGAATGAGGTGATCGGCTACCATACTGTATCTAAATGTTTTCGGTCTTTATTGTATAAAATATTACATTGTTAATGAATGTTTAAAAAGAACGGCTGGTTTTTTTTTGGTTCTTCCCAGGACAGAGTTTTTTTCCGAACCAGTGGTAAAACTTAAATGACTTTCAATAAGTATTCTTATGATCGATATTGAACAAAAATGATTCTGATACATATTTAAATACATAAATATTATATAATATACATAACAAATAATGATGTATTATATTAAAATATCAAATAATAATACATCTTCAGTCTTAACGTCCAACATAGCTTTGCTTTTCTTTCAAAAAGAAGTCATGTACAAACTTCTTAAAACTTGGCGCTCTGCTTACGTTTTCGGACAAGGAGTTCCAGAGTAGTGTTGCCTGAATAGTAAAGAAATTGTTGACCCAGTGAAATGAGATGGAATGCTAATCTTATGATTATTAGTACTTCCTTGCCTTAAATTCTCTCGGATATGAGAGGAGACTTGTGCCCAGTTGTGGGACGTATGTATAAGCTGTAACTTTAACTTTATGTTAATTAATATACAATGTTTTGTTTCAGGCATCGCGCGCAAGTCTCGTTTTAAAAGTGTAAGTATAAAATTTTTCTGAAACAACGTTATAGAAAAACGGTAAAATCACATCTATGATTTAAAAAACGCCCCTCTTTTCTGTTGTGTAAGCGCACGGCAAAGTGGACTGTGTTGTTTGTTGCTCAATCAGATGCATCTCGCTCAGAGTCGCTCACTGCGTGTGAGACAAATTTCCCAATAGCTAGGAGAGAGGGCTCGTTATGGCAGTTTCCCAATAGAAAGCCCAACATACAGGAAGCGCAGTTGCAGCGCACGTGCAGCCGCCCCTGGAGGGGGCCGGCCGATGCACTTTCGTGCCGATGACGTCACATCAGCCTTTCGTCAGAGTCACACCGCCCGCCACCCGTAAGAGCGGTTATGCAATCGACGCGCACCACTCAACTTTCCAATTTCGACAACGCGCCATTGTGTGGCGGCTTTCAAATTTTTACTTCACCATCTCCCGCTTTTTGGCGCTTTCTCGTCCGCTTCTTGCGCTGCTGAAAATGCTCTGAATGCTGCGCGATTACAATCGCCCCGATGCACTTTCACTGCAGCGTTACGTTTCCAAAACATTGTTTCTTCTTTTAAGTTAAGTCGATTATTGTTAATCTGAGCGTTGCTTGGCCACATCCAGCCATATCCTTTAAAATCTTACGATTTCTGATCGTGCACGATACTTTCACAATCGTGTAGTTTCATTTGGTCGCGCGTTTTTGAAAGCTACATTAAAATATGCGTGACAGCTATGACGTCGCCCGTAGGGTTTTCACCGTGTGATAGGAGCTTTCTCAGTTTGTGAACATCGCGCGAGTCGAGAGTGGGTTGTTGCACTACTCTCTATTACTACACTATAAATATTATTTTCATTGTGATGTGCTATAAAGTCGAACGTAAATTAACTCAATCAAATGTTTCTCATGAACAATGTATGAGCTTTTGTGAAGCTTAATTTAGTTGGATATAATGAATCCTTATATGTGAGAAGTTAATAGTGCACTAAATTTAACTTTTTTGATGGCTGTTACTTATTTTAGGGTTTCGCCGTTATAATGTCCTTCAGACGGAATTCCGCTCACGACGGCCAGTCTCAGCGGAGACTAGCCATCTGCCCAGGACAGGATTATAGTGCACGAATGTGTGCGAAAACACTTGTGCACTGTCTATCCTAACTCTCAAAGTCGTATAGGACGGCAATCCGATACGACTAGAGTGATCAGATCATCATAATTTGTTCTGGATATATTCTGCTGTTGAAAACAGTCTTTCTGATGAGAGATTCTTTTACTTATTATAAGCCAGTGCTTGACCACAATCCTACCTGGTGGTAAATGGTGATGAAGCCCTAGATGGTAAATCGCATTGTTGTAGCGTAACAATACTAATGTTTATTCGAGTTATTTGGATATCTTTTCCTAGGCCTGTATACTTTTAAGTCAGACTGTCTAGGACTATTTGGACATTTTATAAAAGAATCCACCGCAAGTGCTTAGAGTAGACGAAGATCATCAACATTCCAGACATTAGTGAAACTCGTAACTTGTACTGTAAAAATAATCACAACGTCAATCATCATCTGTGTAACTCAAATTACTAAGACGAGCCTCCTTTTTACTAGGTCGCCGTTTTATTGGTTGGCTTACCTCCAAAATTGACTAGAATTCAATTCGGTTTACGATTTGAACTCACTCTTTTCGATTCTGTTTTCAAAAATTTTCTCCCCAACCAGTTCGAAACGAGAAACAAAATCGAGCTATGATCTAGCATTATCAGCTCTGTCAGGCATATCGGGATATTTATTATTATTTATTCAATTTATTTTTTATAGAAGAGCCATTATTTTCTCAATCCATCATTAATTTCTTGTACTAATTAGGAACCTATAATATTTGCCGGAACAAATTACTCTATTTTGCTGCTGCCGACACCAGATGGAGAAAAGCAACATGCAATTTGTGTAGTGAATGTCGGCAATATTATCTGCATATACCTTTTTCATAAGGTACCTATATGCAAAAGAAACAGTGAAGTGAAGTTTTAGAAATGTTTGCTTCTCTACGTATCGCATTATTTTTTGTAATTTCTCTTCATAATTCAAATTACATTTTGGTGCTTTGGTTGAATCAGAGTGTATAGTTTGGAGGCAAAAACATTTTTGTACATCACTAGATGATTATTCATAGTTTGGTGCATGTCCAGGAGCATTATCCATGACAAGAAGAGCTCGTTGTGGTAAAATAACTTAGAGAGTGGCGAATAAGCGCGATAATTACATGATATTTGACACTTAGCATTAAATCTTTGGGATTTATGCTTTCAAAAGTTTGTGTAAATATGTTCTAGACCACGCAAGAGCAAGTATTTGTTTCGCATTCAGTGCGCAACTTTTATAATAATATGTTAAAATATGCTTTATCCATACGGTATACGGAGAAAACGGTATATAGTATTGCGATCGTCAATCCGCCTACCAAACTTGGCAAACATTCTGTTCCCATCTTCTGTGAGGTGCCCACTGGAAGATTGAGACAATGATATCTACTAAATAAATTCTGCATGATGTTTTATAATACGATGGCTTAGTTTTATAAAATCGTGTGCTTTTCTTCTACTTTCTTTTTTTTTTAATCCCGTAACTATTTTGGCTAACGCTGCTACCAGTTGCTGTTCTGTGTATTCTATATCTGGTATATTATATTGTCATCAATCAGAGGCCACAATATCTTTATGGTAATACTCATAGTCGTCTCTTAGTCTAAGGACTGAAATGGGCCCGATTGTTTACATGTTTAACCCCAGAACATCGACCATGGAAAAGCTTTTAATACTTTAAATATTTTGAAAATACTAAAGAACTTTCAGGAAGTTCCCTTAGCTGAAGTAGTGCTACTAAAAAGTTCTACTGACTCATAGATTCACTATGCTAAGCCGAGTATTACGATCAGCATGGAAAGGGGCTTAAGCTTTCACCGGTACAATGGAGACGGTGCAAAGCAGAGAAAGGGTCCGCGCTCCGCGCAGCTGTCCCGCGGGCGCGCTGCAAACAGCCTGGCGCTCCGCCCTCGCAAGCCCCGCGGGTAACAACGCGCCACTGCTACGCTACGCGAATGCGATCAGTCGCCCGTCACACGTTGATCGGTTCGGACGTCTGTCACGCTCACAAGCGCGACCAACCAACCATGCGGTGAAGTGAAACTGTCAAACGTGATCCCATTCCGTACATTGTGAACTCTTACGTTCAAATTATACACGCGTGGTGATTTGTGTACACGAAGTGCTGCCACAGATTTCGAAAATTGGATTATACAGACACATTATGGCCTTAGCTAGGTGAGCTATTTTAGTTGTTGGAGTCAACGCGGAACTAGTTTATTTTGCTATGTTCGCCGAAGGACTTTCCGTCGTTTCAGTCGTTATTTGATTTAGTATTTAAGATAACAGGTATGCAAATAAATAACGTAAATGAATGTCAACAAGTAATATGATCATTATTTATTCATTTTAACCTTAATTTGTTCAGCGCTGTTATGCACGTAGATGTCTTCCTTATAGATTGTTAATGTCAATTAGACACAAATGCTACAAACAGCGAAAGTTAATGTGCCCCGCATGCGTACCTATATTAACTTTCTTTGTTGTGTAAGCTAAGCGTTAAGCGACGAGTAGAGGGAGCGATATAGAAATCGAGTCACTTTTACAACCATTACTTCAATTTACTATTGGCTGATTGTATCTACGGAATGTTAATGTTAATTGACATAAATTTTTATATTTTTTTACGAATATCATCATTGTTTTCCCAAGGCCCTTTATAAGTATATAAGTCCAAGTAATGCAATGCCGTTGTGTCCTCTATATTTTTTCGCACCCTCGTCTGTATAGGTCACCCTAAAAATCAAACCCCAAATGTGTTCACAGTGCTCACTTAATTTTATAGATTTTCCGCTGACTATTATTTCTTTATTTAACTGGATCGATATTGCCAAAATTGTGTGAATATATATTTTTTTGTCTCTACAACAAAGAGTCACATTGCTTATAAAGTATTTACAGAAAGTATATTGAAAAGGAATTGTAAATAATAAAGGAAACAATTAACTATTTATAAAGGAGCATCGCTTAATTTTAGATGAATATAAATACCAAGATTGTTGCATTATGACAAGGACTCGCCCGCTCTCCAGTCTCGGCAGCAGGTAACAAAATGCCGAGGCCGGAAAGTGCTTGCTTCTTATTCTACTTTTTTCTTTTCGCTGGAGTTCGAAATGTAAAATTTCGTCCTTTGTATTTCAAGTTTACTATGTAGTATTATACAAATGTGTACACATAACGCCTACGTCCCAAATTATATCTTTTATGAAATTCCAGTGTACATGTGTTTGTGATTCTCCACCTCCTAAACGGCTTGACCGATTTTGTTAAAATACATAGGGTACTTATGGGGTCATCTGGATGGTGCTTTTCTGTATCTGAACACGGTAGGTGGCGCTGATATTGAGATCCAGAAATCACCCGTGCGAAGCTGAGCGGATCGCTAGCGATTTACGAAATATTTGATGACAATTACAAAAGTTCATGACTTGTTACCCCTTCATTAATTATAGTAAACATTTTTAAAAGTCTTTTGTGAGTTAGATAATGTCATGCTTTTTTTACAACAAAAGAAAATTTACAGCAACTACGCAGTCCAAAACTTACACTAGGTAAAAGTAATATAGAAACAAGTGTATTTGTTTAGCCGTACTTATGTACTCATCAGATGTTTGTTTATTTATTAAATTTCACAATAATAGTTAACACACCGCCACTAGTCAATGGCGTGAAAATAAAAGGAAAACAAAGTAACAATTAATATATATGTACGGGTAGAAACAAACTTTCATAAATGTAGAGATTGCTCCGCATTTCATGAAGGCATTGCAAAATATGTGCCTAGGTACCTATTCAGTTAACATATAAATTGCAAGATGCAATATAGTAACAGATGAAAAGGATTTGCAGGGATACGCTCATCGGAGGTCAATGTCCTCCTGTCACGGAGGTTGCACGAAAGTCATCGGGTGCTTTTCGCCTCGAGTCGAACTCGGTCCACCCTACAGTAGGGTTACCAGATGAAAAAATTAAAAATCCGGAGAAGAGACCTCATTTCCATTTAAAAATCCTGACCACCCTCCTTTTTTACAGTTTGAGAAGAAAACCTTACTTAAAAAGGTATCTTCACATATTAAGTATGATAAAACTGTTTAAGTACCTACTTGGATAAATAAGTTTTGATTTTAATTGTGGAATTATTACCAAAGGAAAATATTTTTAGTTTGTTTAACTTTTTATTAAAGAGATCTTTAAAATGTAAGCTGTATTATATTGAAAGTTCTAAAAATCCTGAGATTTCATGAGATTTGCAAAATCCAGCCGCAATCCTGAGAAGAGTCTAAAAATTCTGAAATCTCAGGACAAATCCTGAGATATGGTAACCCTAACCCTACTTATTATATTACGTTGCTTAGATATTTTATATAAACGTATTTCCTACGAGAAAGTAGTTCCTTATAATAAAAATAAACTTATAAATAATTTAACTTTGTCTTGACGTGATACCCAACCGCCATTTAAAAAGATCGCATGTTAATGTTTGTAATGTAGATCCCAATTAGAAACATTACTATTATAATTAAATTATTGTTTTTCTCACATTTATTTTATCACACAGGAGGTATTGCATAATTATTGCAAACTTAAGCTTACATACACAGTTAAGAAAAAATTATGTAATAATTTTATGTTTATTTTTGTCACTTTTTCTTTTGGTATCAGCCTCCTCTAGAGCTCGCTATAGCATTCTCTTTCCTGCACTTTATTCCTACTTCTTTCTCTATTTTATCTTTCCATTGGTTTTAAAAACTTTCTTTCTTTCACGGGAATACCACATTACATCTTTAGACCGTGTGATCCACTAGACCATCTAAATACATTAACTCTCACGCCTTTCATTCAGAGGTTTTATCGGAGACTACGACGGTCTTCCATTTAGCACGATCCTGACACACCTCTTTGCTTCTTCTTCTTTCTCATCTATAACATATTTACGCATACATGCATGTCGGTTAAAGGTACTCATTTGGTAAATTAACTTCCGCTACAAGCGTTTCTGATTTCTTTAATTTTTTTTGGTTATTTATGTAGGTAATATTTTTAATCTTATTTCTCTCTCATGCTGGTTATCCTTTACACGTCTTTAATGTTTATTATTGTGGATTTTTTCTATTATGCTTATTTGTTATACCAACAAGATATAAGCTTTACAAATTTTAAAATAAACTTAAATCAAAATCTGGAACCAAGCTTTATCTTAATTAAAAGTAACCATGGCTAGGTAAAAATAACAAGAAGTAGACAACCAAAATACAAAAAAGTTTAAGAAAAAAAGGAAAATGGTGAGTAAAGGGAAGAACAAAGTGTCTAAGATAGTGAATAATTGTGAGTTGATTAAATATTAACATTATAATATTTAATTTTATGTTTATCTATTTTTTTTTTCTATTTTTGGAGGATAGATAATACAAGATTTTCCGCTTAAATTTTAGGAGACTAAGTGCTAAATCGTTATCCAATACTTTGTTAATTAAATTGTTCGACGTCTGTATACCGTTTACAGAGGAAAAATGTCCCAATTTACTTTTAAAATATTTAAGTCTAAAAAGCGTGTATTGAGATATACGTGGAAACTTATGGGGGGTTATGGAAATTCACTAGGCGAAGGAATTGAGGACAGTCAAGTACACCGTTGACAAGCTTGTGCAATAACATGGAATCCATCAATTATGTACGATCCTCCAAGCAAGCTTATAGTGTTTAAGTCGATCCTGGTAAGAACGCAGTTCTTTAGCTTTATTAGAATGAAAAACAATATGCCACAGAGAAGGTTTTGTATACTTTCAATTCTTTGCTTATGAATTTTATACTGAGGCGTCCAAATGCTACTACAATATTTTACAGTCGATCTTATGTAACAATTATAAACTAGAAATTTTGTAGTTGTCTGTTTAAAGTTTATACAATTACGAAGCAAAAAGCCTAGTTTTAAAACACTTTGGAACTATTTTGTCGATTATTAAGGAAGTAAAAAGCAGAGTTACGATTTTTCTCCTCGTAAAACGAATGAGGTGACATTTGCCAACGTTTAGAAACATAATCTTTTGAGATCACCATTTTTCAAAGCGTTGCAGGTTGCTGATGGGTTTCGCTAATGAATATGTTAAAAAATAAAGGCCCGAGATCTGAGCCTTGTGGGACTCCAAATGACACGATATATGCATTCGATTGGTAACCCTCACCACAATTTTTGAGCGTGCGATATGTTAAATAGGAATGATACCACTTTAAAATATTGCCTGAGATTCCGTAATATGATAGTTTGTGTAAAAGTAATTCATGGCCCACTTTGTCGAAAGCTTTATTAAAATTTGTATATATTACGTCGACAGGAGTACCGCGATCCACAAAGTAAATAACAGCGGATACAAAGGAGGCTAAGTTGGTAGTAGTTATGAGTAACCTGTAGTCTCTTTCTAGTTTACCTGTTAATGCCCATGTTTGACATCCGTATGTTATGCAGGGTATTATGCAGCTGTTAAACATTTTTCCATTATTGGAGCCAGTCGGTTCTTCTTAATTTCTTTGAGAGACCAAATTTTTCTAATGCTTACCTAATCCAACAACGAGTATAAGTATAATATATTAATATCCTATATAAATATTAAAGAAAACTTTCCTTTACGTTTTTGATTCCTTTTAACTTATTCAGAGATATACATTGACACCCTAGTTAATACTTGAATAATTTTAGATCATCGTTTAAGCCGATCACAAATACACTGCCGATCGTTGTTTCACTCCATACGTTACCTGTAACGTGCCTTATTTAGATTAACTTGCCCGTAGGACTATTATATTCTATTGTAGGTACTCTTTTTCTTCCCTTACTTCCACGTTGCAGATTTTATATATCGCGAGCACTCTATGTAAAACGTGCTCAATAGGTCGCAAAGTGAGTAAGCTTCCCTACGAATGAATGGCCACGTCCCGGTTTCGTAGGTATTTGCTGGTTATTATGTTCTGGGTTTATACCATTGTTTTAAAGTATCTTTGGTATACCGGACAACATCTTTACAAGAACATCAACTAAATGATGGCCTTAATTTACCTAAAAGTCCAGTATAGATGCACGCTGTGCGGCAATTTCATCTTAGTCCTCTGCGCAGGGCTAACAACGCATCAGCAGCCCTTCGTTTGAAGTTTATTGCATGAGTCTACAGGCTGCAGGAGATACT